GTTATATGGCGGCTATACGATATCGTAGACCGATATAGTCCATCTTCGAACTTGACCTGCCTGCAAACAAAAGAGAGATCTGTGCAAAGTTTTAGCTTCCTATCTTAATTCGTTTAGACTGTAGCGTGATTACAACAGACGGACAGACGGACGGACAGGGCTAAATCGTCTTAGAATTTTACGCTGATCAAGAATATATATACTTTGTTCGGTCTAAAATGATCATTTCGATGAGTTACAAACGGAATGACGAACTTAATATACCCTCCATACTTTTTTTGGTGGAGCGTATAAAAATAATAAGGTAAATATAAATTCAATATTTAACGGCAGTTTTTTTTTTTTTTTTTTTGATATGTTATTGCTTTATATTGGTTATTACTGGTACCAAAATGTACTTAATATACCCATTATTTTATTACGGAATTTTTTGAACAAAAATTAAAATGGAGTTATTTGTCTACTTTAGTGTAAAATTAGCATTCACTTTGAGGCGTTTGCCTATACAGAGGTGATTGAAACTAGGAAATTGCCATAAAAGTTCCTTGTAATCACTCGATCAACATAACATGCGACAGCAACCCATACACAAGGATAGGATCTTGGTATAGTCGACTTCCACCTCTTACAACCAAATTTTGAAACATATTTGTGTCTGTATGCTGGGTAAATATCCATTCCCTGTGTACATTTTGCCCCAAATCAAGTTATTTAGATTTTTTCTGTATGTTCACTATACTGTCTCGTACAACCTCCCAAATTGTATCATGGACAAGTGTAAATTGATATTGCCGTACGTGCAGAAATATAGGCCCCGGTAGATGTAAATTCTTTGGCGTTTGTCTCATACGTGCATAAATGTGACATGTTTTGCGACAGGATATGAGATACAAACCCTAGACAACCACCTCATTTCAATACCAAAAAAAAAACAGTCGGATTCGGATAAAGAAAACTATATTGATTTAATAGGACAGACAAAAACATGATGGACGTTTCCATTTTACTAATTTTTCTTATTTAACAACACTTTTTTCTAATGTCTGTACTAAAATAAAATCATGTGTATTCGGAAAATATAAGGTCATATTGAAGCCAATTTTATTGGGAACACTTTCCAAACTTATTTGAAATGCCAATACTCGCTTCATTGCCAATAACAAGGAATATATTCCAATACAAAACATACATTTGACAACGAATATGGTCTTCCTGGTCACAACGTCACTGCTTAATGGTGTATGTTGCCAGTACATTGTTATTTTACGAATCCTCCTTGTGGTTCAATTTATGGCATACCTTGCTACATACATTCCCCTGCAGTGGCAGGAGCACACAGTAAAACAAACTTAACCAAAAAATATAATTGTCTGTACTCTTCCACGTCCATTCAAATGTGAAAGATCCTCTGGTTACACAGCTCCTACCGATTCCGAATTTGAGGTAGGCAAGTGCATATTTGTGTGTGAGTGTGACTGTTTGTGGATGGATTTTCAACACTTGCTGGTCAGGTAGGATATAACCCAATCTTACATTTGAGTACATTATTGTAGTTTGGCAATGGTGTGTTGGTTGTGTTATACAGGAAATTCATGCGGAGAAATTATTCGAATATGAAACAGAATTTAAGGCGGGTAATACGATACCCTTTTCTCAATAATTTATAGCATAATTAACAACTAATACGTTGTGATCTTCTAATGAATATCTGTAGGAGAAATTCCAAGTCGAAGTCGGTTTAAGTGTGAGAAAAGGTATCAATTGGTCGAAGTATTGGACCAAATTGGATAATACAGGGTGAGATGAAAAAACTGCAACCAACTTCAGACTGCTGTGATTTCTAAGCCACTTGTCCCACAGCAGCTTAAATTATTTCAATGATAGCTCATTATATTCTTTACAAGTGTACAAAAGCATTTTGGTGAGAATTTTCTAGAAAAAAAGTTATTCGTGATGGAATTCAAGTATGATAGTGTGATTTCCTTATATTTGGCTGGAAAACCACAAGTGGCTCCAGTGAATTTAAATGTGAATAAATCTTGTGTGTCTTATTACCGTAATACTGGTAGCGAAGCCCGACGTCAAGGAAGTAGACGGAAGAAAACAGCAACGTCAGCAGAAATGGTTCGAAAAGTAAAGAAGCGACTTGAAGGAAATCCGCGTCGACGTAGCCGAAAAATGACTCGTGAGCTGGACATATCGCAATATTACATTCGACAAATATTAAAACTAAGCTCGGGGTAAAGCCATTGCAATTCCAAAAAGAGCAAGAACTTACATCGCAACAGAAAGAAAATAGACTCAAAAGAGCTAAAGAGTTGCTACGCTTAGCAGAAAGTGGTGAACTGCCGAATTTGGTTTTCTCCGTCTCAGATGAGAAAACATTCGTTGTCCAGCAGTTTGTAAACAAACAAAATGATCGTGTTTACTTGCCAAAGAAGTCAGCTGAAAATGTGCACATTCGATGGGCCACCAGAACTCAAGCGCCGGCCATGGTGCTGGAGTGGGCCGCCATAACAGCCGATGGTCGCTCTCCGCTCATACTAATCGACAGCGGCATCAGAAAAAATGCCGAATATTATCGCTAGAATATTCTGGAGGGTGTATTAAAGTCTTGGGCACACAAACATTTTGGCCGCAGACCTTGGACACTCCAATAGGACTCAGCACCATCGCACTCAACACGCGCCACCCAAGAAAGCTTAAAAAATGAGGTTCCTTCACTTCATTTACAGAGCACAATGACCACCAATGACCGAATACCAATCGGTTGGATTATTGTGTCTGGAGTATTTTGGAAAGCAAGGTTGGCACTAAAAAAGTGTCGATCACCTCAAGCACTCGCTTCGACGGAAATGGGCCAAAATACCGCAGAGCAACATTCGGTGACCAATTCGAACAAATCTAAACTTATTCTAAAATGTATTGCTACTTCCGACATTTTTATAAAAAAGCGGTACCGATATGTGGGGACTATACCAAAACTTTAACCAGCTTTGATACTTTTCTGCTTTTTAGCTTCCTATCATTAGTCGCTTTGAGTCTTCAGTGTTTACAACCGATGGAGGGACATGGCTAAATCGGATGCTTTAATAGGTATTAAATGATTATTTCGATGAGTTCCATCTTTAGAACAAACGTATTTAATTTGCGTTTAACTTTGCCACACTTCATTTTATACCCTCCACCATACTATGGAGGGTATATTAACTTTGTCATTCCGTTTGTAACTCCTTGATCAGCGTAAAATTCTAAGTCGATATAGCGATGTCCGATTGTAATCACGCTATCTTTCGAACGAATTGAGATAGAAGACTATAAATTTGCACACATATTTATTTTACCAGTAGGCAGGTTAAATTCGTAAATGGGTCATGTAGGTCCACGTTTTCATATAGCCCCCACGGTACCTCCCGATATTCGGTATTTTGATGATTTTAGCGACATTATTCACCGGAATTGTTTCAAATTTGGCATTTGAAGAGCGTAATGGATACTACAGCTTATGACAGAAAATTGTCTGCGCAGGTCCACGTCTTCGTATAGCCCCCCTATAATGGCACCTCCCAATATTCGGTATTTTGATGATTTTAGCGTCATTATTCACCAGAGTAGTTTCAAATTACGTATTAAGAGTTCGTAATGGGAACTACAGTCTGTGACAGAAAATTGTCTTTGCAGGTCCAGGTCTTCCTATAGGTCCGATATAGCGGTACCTCCCTATATACGGTATTTTCATGATTTTAGCTACATTATTCACCGTTTATTTCAAGTTTTGAATTTGAATATGGTAATGGCTTATAATAAACAATGCCTACGTAGGTCCACGTCGTATAGACTCCAATATAACGGCTATATTCGGTATTTTTTATATTCTAAAGAATTTTTAACGGATTTTATTTTTTGAAAATTTCCAAATTCGTTCCAAATGGTCGAGGGTATTCAAAGTTCGGCCCGGACGAACTCACTGCTTTTTAACTTGTATTTTTGTTTTGTTTTTTTTTCGATGACATGGCAATCTTATGATTGTTGGTTGGGCGTTCTATGCACTCAGCCGCTTTTACAAATAATTTTAATTGTTTAAGAACTTGAATGTATGTCGGCGTACTTCTCGTATTGTCTTGTTATTTTTTATGTTTGCTGGAGCGGAGATTCGCTAGTCAGCGACCATATTTTTTGTAGTTGGACGTGCTCATTCTGGGCCGTCGGGTACTCATAACTTGGTTTGATATAAGTTAGTTATGTATTTTGCCTTATGATCTCTTTACGAATAACTCATAATGTTTTGCTTACTAATATTGCATAGGATATTCAGTTGTCATTATTTTTGGGTATGTGTTTGTCACAACAAATAACCCAGCCGAACTTGTCGTCGTTTTTACTTAGAAAGATATCTACCAACTTTTAGGTTTTCTTTAAGTGTTTACCACATTTCACAAAGATTAGCCTGCAATACAAGGCTTCGAGTTCTGGTATAGCCCAATATAACTATAATAACGATTTCAGTTATTTCATAGTGAACAAATAAACCATCACTTCTTTAAAATCCAAGATATTTTGCTTCACCCGATTTTATATGTAAATCCATCAATGGCTAAAATTAAACGGCTTTAAATAATTTAAAAACATCTTCTGGTTTTTTCAAATAATACGAAACATCATCATTAATGGCTCTTTGGCATACGTATTCAATTTAAAGTCCATTATTATAATTTGTGTACTTTAAGGAAGAAAAAATTAAAACAAATTGCAAAAAGCATGCAATTTATTTGTTTTTATTCTTTTCACTTTCATTCTTTGAATGTGCCAGGACACAGACATATTTTTCTTTTACTTTTTGTTTTTTTTTTTTTTTTTTTTTGGCCAAGAACACTTAAGAGTCCATTTTCACAAGAGCAAAAACAACAAAAAGAAAAATAAAAACAACATCCACCCATTACGGTTAGTTTTGGCTGAAGTAAATTGAAGAGGAAAACATCAACAACAAAAACAAGACTTACTTGGCCGATGCTTGAACCAAATTCCAATCGTATCCTTCTAAAACTTTCATAACGGCACTGGTGATTCGTTCATCTTCCTTGCGACCGACCACATTTTCACCGCTTAAACGTTTCTGTTCAGCTTTTAGGGCAATATTTGCCAAAACCAATGTTTCCACAGGTTTGACACGTTCCACAGGATTTTTATTTGTTTCCACGGAATTCGTATCCGTTGCCATGATATTCAGCAAAAAATATGCCACAAAGAAGAAGCCAAATAAAACAGATGCACAAAATTTATATTAACATTAAAAAAAAATATTTTTTGTTCAAAAGCTCACAACACTTTTTTCAGATATTATTTTTTTTATTTTTTGATATGTTTTGACTTTTTGTGAAAAGTTTGTTTCATATGATTTAAAATAATTATAATTTTTTTTCTCCAAGCCGTCGGTAGTTCACTTTTAGTACTTTTTTTTTGTGCAAGATATGAAAATCTCGTTTAACGGTAGGTATTTGCATTAAATCACACTCTCTCCGCTAGTTGAGCTTAAAAATGTTGCGCGCACGACAGACCCCAATGGAAACTAATTTCACTGATCTTGATGACAAATTAACATTGCTCCCCTGCGGGCAAAAACAGGCGCACGCACACGAACAACAAAACACACGACCCGATGAACAACAAGTTCGTTAATACAACAAACTACATACTACGACAATGATCGCACCCAGTCATCATGATCCCTCTGCATATGACGAATCAGCTGCCAAGCCGAATACTACTGCTTACTGCTCGCTCAAGTCAAACGAAGTCGTAAATCTGCTAACGACAGCCTAAGAAATTCACACACACACACATGCTTACAGAATGCAGTGGTTGTTGATCAAATATTTACTCTTTCATACATGAGTAGTAGTTGTTGGTTTACGGTACTTTGTTGGACATTGAGGAGCTCCAAGGGACAGCACCCACCACCATTTGTATTCAGTTCCCCCATATGTGTACATTCCAATGGGCATAATTTTCACACACTTGCTAGCTCCAAAGACACAAACACAAGCCCAAATCCAAACCCCATCTACATAGTCCAGTTATAAAAGCCGAGAATTTGTTTTGGTCCGATATTTGTCAGTCCATCGCATGAACCAAGTGCGACAGAGAGTCATAAATAATACGCTCACATACTCTGTAGTTTTAACACATACATGTGAAGATTTAATTTTTTGAAAAGTGATTGTGTTGTGTACAACACAATTTTCATGAGCCTTTTCTTTTGGCTTGCTTTCCTGGAAAAAAATATTTATTTATACCATCCCAACCAAATATTTTAATAATATTTTTATGTAAATACCTTTACGACTACTGTTTGATTATATCATTTTATTTAAAGAATGCACTTGGCAAAAGTTTTGCCTTACATACATACATATCTATATAGGGTAAGTCTTGATTATGGATCCTTACGTGTTATTTCCCAGACACATGTTGTTTTAACCTGTTGCTTTTGTTCAAAAACAATGATAGCCCAACAAAGAGTACAAGGTAATGTAAATAAGATACTTTATACATTACCGATCAATTAATAATGGGTTATTCAATAAAAATTTAAAAACATTATTGATCATTACTAAGTAAAGAATATACATCGGTGAAATATATATTCAGAAGTAACGCATGTTAGTTCGTAATTACTGCAGGTCGCAATTTTGTCCCAATCTTCACCAAATTATGTGTGGATTATAAGTTATAGACCAGTCGACGAGAAATTTGAAGTCTACCATTTTACATGAACATGGCATAATTGTTAGTGTGTGAAATGTCCCCATTCAAACCCGAGTGTTTTCAGCAGAGTTCAAACTTGCTCGTTTTTATTCGCGATTAAGACTTGCACACGAACGGGAGTGCTCGAAGAGTACGAGTTTACACGATGTTCAGTCTCCGCTAATGATTTGTGTGATGGAGATGGGGGTGGAGGTGGTGTACAAAAGCCAAGAAGAGAAAAACAAAATGAGCAAGAGGCGGGAGATTTAGAATTTGGTTTGTTTCGTTTGCATCTGAGGGCTGAAAAACACACATACTTAAAAATGCAAAAACTAAAAACTAACTGCAAGAGTAGAAACTGTCCGATTTCAAACGAATTTCTATCCCTCTCGCTACTACTACCTACTCGCTCATATTCGAATTATATTGAAAAATAGTATATGAGATAAAAAAACTGCAACAAAGTCAAACGCCATAATTTTTAAATTTTTTAAATTTTATTGAATGAAAGCAAAAAATGTCGGAAATAGTATTATATACATTTACACGAATTATGGCCTTCAAACGGTCAATGAAACCGTCACACGCTGCCCGCATGTTGCTCTGCGGTATTTTGGCCCATTTCCGGCGAAGCGCTTGCTTTAGTGATCGACTCTTTAGTATTTTTAGTGCCAACCTTGCTTTCCAAAATAATCCAGACACAATAGTCCAACGGATTGGGATCCGGAGATTTTGGTGACCATTGTGCGCTGAAAATGAAGCGAGGAACCTCATTTTGTAAACAAAAGAGGGCACGTGCTGAGTCCTGTTGGAATGTCCAAGGTTTGCGTGCCCAAGGCTTTAATACACCCTCCAGAATATATTCGCGATAATATTCGGCATTTATTCTTATGCCACGGCCGATTAATACGAGCGAAGAGCGACCATCGGCTGTTATGGCGGCCCACACCATCACCATGGCCAACGCTTGAGTTCTGGTGGCTAACCGAAGGTGCAAATTTTCAACTGACCTCTTTGACAAGTAAGCACGATCACGAACTGCTGGACAACGAATGTTTTCTCATCGGAGAAAACTAAATTCGGCAGTTCACCACTTTCAGCCAAGCGAAGCAACTCTTTAGCTCTTTTGAGTCTATTTTCTTTCTGTTGCGGTGTAAGTTCTTGCACTGTTTGAAATTTCAATGGCTTTTCCCCGAGCTCACTTTTCAATATTTGCCGAATGAAATATTGCGATATGTTCAGCTCACGAGCCATTTTTCGGCCACTGCGACGGGTTTCGATCAAGTTGCTTCTTTACTTTTCGAATCATTTCTGCTGATGTTGCTGTTTTCTTCCGTCCACTTCTTTGACGCGGGGCTACGCTACCAGTATCACGGTAACGGGCGATGGTACGAGACTCAAAAGATTTATTCACATTTAAATGCTGGAGTGCTCTAGCCACTTGTTGTTTTCCAGCCAAATATAAAGCGAAACGAAACCATTTTTTTCTGGAAAATTTTCACCAAAATGCTTTTGTACGCTTGTAAACAATATAATGAACTGTCACTGGAATAATTTTAACAGCTTTCGGACGAGTGGCTTAGAAATGACAGCAGTCTGAAGTTAATGAAGGTTTTTCATCTCACCCTGTATAAAGTTTTGAAAGGAGTACTTTAATATTTCATCTTCGGGTTGAGAATTATGATTATTCGAAATTTATTGTGGGGGACATAGCCAATTTTCGGACCAGCTCTATGTGTGACCCAGCCAGATTGACTTAAAATGTTGGTTTCATCCAAAGAGACATGTGGTCTAAGCCCGTCATTTTTTGAGGCGCTTTATTGAAATATTACTTTGTATATGCTCCTGTAACCATAGGCCGGAGTACATACATGGAGGTTTGTTCAATCCTGGAAAAACATATAAAACAGATTTTATGGACAATATTTAACAATAAAATATTCAATTCACAGGCAATTTGAGACATAAAAGCCCCCGGAATTAGTGTAATTATATGAAATTCTACAAAAAAAAAAAAAATATAAACCAACATGTTAGGTAACTAAATTTTAAATATTCCGATGTCTACCGATATTTATGAATTTGATATAAGGTTCTGTGACTTCAACCCTTACTTATCAATATTGCGAAAATAAATTACAGAGTAAGTAAGCTCGGCTGGGACCCTGTACCATGAGGTGAAGCAAACAAATGAAAAAGGTCTTAAAGTACTTAGATTTGGTACTCAACCGAAACCATATTTCTGTTAGGAGTGATATGTATAAAATTATGTTTTGGAACCGCAAACACCATTCAACTAAATAGGAAAAAGTGCATATATTAAACTTCGGTTTTATATTCAGAAAAAAAAAGATATTTTATTCATAAAAAACACGAAGTAATCTTTTTCAATTAAAGACCCTTCCTGATAACTATATTCCATAAAAATTGTATTTGTTTAAAATATAATCAAATTTCACTTTCAACTCTCAAAGTTGTTTTCCCCCACTCGCTAAGAGTTCCTACCTTACATACATATGCCACTTGTTAATACTCCTCGTTTTTTATTCTTTTTATTATTATTCCCACACGACCAGCATCAATTTTTTTCCCAACTCCCAGCACCCATAAATCCATTGACATGCTCACGAGCATATGTACATACAAATGTATGTTTATATGTCTATGAATGAACATGAGCATCATTTGCTTTGACTATGACTTCAAATCGCACGATTAAAACGATATGAAATAAACATTGAAGTAGCCTTTTTTACGATATTGCATCTGCGTAGCCTTTGATCTTTTATGCATCATTAAGATTTATGAACACATTTTGTCGTTCGATATTCGATTTGATGTGATGTCCGATGAAACCTTATAACGCGCTAATGCGATGTGTATTGTAGGAATTTCGAATATTTAAAACAAAAACGAATACACTAGTGAGGAAAAAAATGTTTTAGTGTACATAATAAGAACATCAGCAGATAGCCAATATATAGAAGAAATATATACTATAGAAAAGGTATGCAAGATCTATGGAATGTTTTCTGGAAGCAAGATGCCTATAAAGTCTGTGGAAAGTCTCATATGTATAGAATGCCTATGTACAGAAGACTTATAAGAGCTTTTCTGTGTATAGAAGATCTAGGAGAGGTCGTCTGTATATAGAAGACCTATGGTAGGCCTTCTATGTGTAGGTCATCTTTGTATAGAAATCCCATGAGAGGTCTTTAATATTAAGAAGACATGTAGGAAATAAAAAGCTCATTTATGCATAGATATCTATAGGATGTCTTTTATCTATAGAAGACCTATAGGAGGTCTTCTATGTATAGAAAAGCTATAGAAGGTCTTCTAAGTACAGACGACCTGTAAGAGGTATTATATATAAAATACATATGAGACGTCTTATACCTATAGAAGTTCTGTAGGAGGTCTTTAATGTATGGAAAATCTATAGGAGGTTGAAGACGTATAGACCCTCTATATATGTAGAGAATATCTATATGAGGTCTTCTATAGATAGAGAATATCTATAGAATACATACAGGGTGGGATGAAAAAACTGCAACCAGTTTCAGACTGCTGTCATTTCTAAGCCACTCGTCCGACAGCTGTTACAATTATTCCAGTGACAGCTCATTATATTGTTTATAAGCGTACACAAGCATTTTGTTGAGAATTTTCCACAAAAAAAGTTATTCGTGATGGAATTCATGCGTGATAGTGTGATTTCCTTATATTTGGCTGGAAAAGCACAAATGGCGATCGTTAGAGCACTCCAGCATTTAAATGTGAATAAATCTTTTGTGTCTCGTACCATCGCTCGTTACCGTGATACTGGTAGCGTAGCCCGACGTCAAGGAAGTGGGCGGATAAAAACAGCAATACCAGCAGAATTTGTTCGAAAAGTAAATAAG